CTTCATCTTAATGGAGGTCCTGTGTACCATCTTACCTTAAAGGGTTAAACCATTCACAAACAGTAAAAATGAGAGAGTATATCTGAACCCAATGGCCATATAACTGTCTTGAACGCATGATATTTAGGAGCCAATAGCAGAGATTCAAAGAAAGAAAACCTCACAGCAATATATGAGGAGTATGAGTGTATTGTAAAACTGCACAGCAATGATAATGTTAAAATGTGCTGTGCATTCAGTATCTACAGGGCACATATCATAGTGGAGACTAGAATATCCGGTATCTACTGGTGATCCGTGACATGAGCAAATATTTATTGAATTTCTGTGGAATTATACCTATTATCCACTGAATATCTGTGATCCTTTTATTTGCTAGCAGTGGAGGCTGGTCAATAGGGGCAAGTAGGGAAAATCCCTTTCAGTTTTTGTTGGAATAAAACAAATAAAGCAACTGTTACAATAAGGCATCAGGACTAATGATAATTTTGTATTAGAAAAAAATAATAATGTGTCTATCATGATTAGTTCTTCTGCTTCCTCACTTTAGTGATAGCTAAAGATGCTGCTCAAAAGCTGTGCAACTTACAAAAATCAGCAGTTCCGGGTCCTGCATTCAGGACTTAAATAATGTGTTCTATTATATGAATTAAAATCGTCCTTTATTAAAAATCAAAATTATATTTTGACATAATGTGCAGGGGGGAGGCACAAAGATGGGAGACGCTCATGCGTTTCGTAAGCAACTTTCATGTCAATAATATGTTTTCTTTTGTATATTTTCCCCATTTTCTGGGTATTTACGTCTCAGACATGCTTAATCTGCTCTAACAGGATTTCTGACATCACCTTTTGGTTATGCATTGGTCCACCAGATTCTGGACAACCTAAAATACAGGCCTGTGTATTTTTTTTTTCTTCTATGGCTGTCACTTAGCAACAGCCTCACGGGTCGAGCCGTTCTACTTTAAAGTGATTGTTATTTCATGCATACATGTATTTATAAGTTTACAGTGTTAAACAAGGCATGATGTTGTACATGGGGTGAAATGAGCAGAGTTAATCAAGTCAGATAGCAGGGTACAGTCTAACACCCCACAATCTTTAAGCTTAACCAGCTGCCACTAAATGCTCGATAGCTGTAATGTAAATATATAGTATATGCTGAATATTTATGACTCTGAAATCAGATGCTTTTTGATTGCTGTGACACGAATATCTATTATAACAAAGATTCCTTATTTTTTGGTCTTTTACAGCTTTAAAGACAAGTTTCATGCTACAGTGCACAAAATGACGCCAAACTGTGACATTACATTCATCCAATCTAATGAGGGCAGTGGACGGGGTGCTGCTCTTATATCTGCTGTGGCATACAAAATGGCCTCTCTGATTGGGCACTAACAAGGATTCTAATATGTGTACCCCTACTCAACGTCTTCAGACACCTACAGAAACATCAATACATTTCAAACATCACATAGACCAACAGAGAATAATATCAAACCTTCAGAACATTTGACATGCAAGATATGACATGCTTTCCAAGTCTACTCTCAAGCCTGTGGGCATTAAGAACACATAGCAAGCCCTACTTATTTTGCAGATGCCCTACATGGCATTCTAATGAACTGTAGAACATCTGGATGTTCAGTTACCAAGAGGCAAATTCAGACCTTGACCATAGTTAGGCTACGTAACTGACCTCAAAACTCTGTGCATAGCAATCGTGAAAATCTTTAAATAACACATTTCTTACTTTTCATGATTTTTTTTCCTGCTTCCTTATTTTCATGAATTCCTGAAACACTGATCCTTCAAGTCAGGTTGAAATTGATCTACAAAAGAAAATCCCAAAATTATTGGGACAATGATTTGCGTGGGTCAAATAGAGTTTGAAGTCTTACAGTAGATGCAGTAGATGTACTGTGGAGAATGGGTGAAAGTGGCAGTTCAGTTTTATCTACATTTAAGTTATCATTCCATTTATTGTTGCTTATTCAGAAAGTGTCAGCATATTCTACAACATCATGCAGAGAAGAAAACTTGGACACAAGAAAAGACCACTGGTCAAAAGAGCTTGTGTTCTATAAAAGGAGTGTTCAGTCTTTAACCTCAAGCTGTTATTGTACTATAATCACCATCATTCTTGCCCAGTCAATTACTGGAATTAAAGTGCAACAGTTAAAAGGCCAAAGTGCCACCACAATGGTTTAGAAGTTTTAAAACGGGTTGATTCTCCCCACTACACTGACTATTTATCAGGTCTTTGATCGCATGTGTCAATTTTTAATGCTAAGTCTGTGGACCAAGTGAGACACCTAGATTTTGCATGGCAAAATGACTGGAGTACCGTCCGATCTCTGTAGTTTAGGGAGCTCTGAGGAGATGTCACTGTGTATACTTCTCCCTTTTTACCTCTACTATCAAGAATTATAATTTCTCAAGTAGATGCTTATAATACTTACTACTCTGACAGCAAAAATGAGTAGAAAACATGAGGAGAAATACAGACAAGATATACAGTTTGCATATTAAACCTCACAACCCAAGATGCCTGCAGAGCTGACCCTCTCATCTGTAATATGGATATGATGATAATGTTACCCAACAGAAGCTATCATAAGGAGAATGGATTCACAAACGGTGAACTGGAAATATAAACACTGAGCATTTACACAGCTTGAAAGCTGATATCACAACCGTAGATTGGTAATCTTTAAATCAATGGCTGAAGAAGGAAATAATTCAGTATTATAGCAATACTATATGTCACAAACCAGTTGTCAAAGACTAAGCAGTTGTGCAGTGACATGTCAAAGGAGGCAAAGTCACAGGAAAAGACATCACTTGTTGCAGGAAATGATGATATTAGAGAAGGCTATCACTGCAATATATCAACAAAAGGTTTAAAATAAATAACATGTGCCATAACTGTTAACAACTTTGAAATATTAATATGTTCTTAATTGCAGGGGGAAATCGTGCTCATAATACATTTGAGACCAATCTGTACCAAATCCTTTTCCGATATTTTTTACACCATGTTGATTGTGTTAGTGTTTCAACCAAATATATCAGACATTTGCATAACTACTGTGCGTAAACAAAGCTGAGTTTCATATTTGCAAAGATATTTGGTGCCATAGGTGTATTTTGCTGCTCACATGGGATCTCTTTACAGCAGTATCTCCCATTAGCCTAAAGTTACACAGTCACTTCTGTGGAAATGGCACCATTGAATAAGACAGTGAAAATCACCTATAATTTGTATTTTTCATGTGAGGCTCCATTTTCTTGTATAAGAAATGTTAATAAAAGTATATTAAACATTAGCAACTGACATCACAATCCAGTTCAAGCTCAGCCCGGGGCAGAAATATCAATGGAGTAGAAGAAACAGAAAAAGTGTTGAGCAGTGCTTCCATTCACTGATGTAAGCTCTGCTCTTTGCACTTAACTCCGTGCTGACTGATAAGTGCAAAGAGCAGAACAATGATTGACAGGGATCCTAAAAGGAGTCACACAGTTCCAAGATGCAGCACTGTGAATGTCTTTGTTTAATTGAACATTTTACACCTCAAAACACATATTTGTCAAATATATGTGATATGTAAACAAAATATCCAAACCTCTGCCAAGTGGTAGTTCTGTTTAAGAAAACTATACAAACCACAAACTAAACATGCACAATACCAGAGCTGTTTTCTTTCTCCTAACATCTAGTTTCAGTTGATTGGACACACATGTTGTCCTTTGCAGTAAATTAACTAGGCAGTCACCTCAGTGTTACTGTGACCCCAAGCATTGGTGTTTTGGAGAGGCCTCAATGACTAAAACAGTGTTGTGCTAAACCTTTGGTGTTAACGATTGCTGTGCACACACAAACAGTTTAACACCATTTAAATGTTTTTGCCACTTTGTGGGGATTGTACGATTTCTCAGATTAATTAAAACAAAGGGGACACACTGCCAACTATACCTCTTATAGATTATGCTGCTTAAGTTACTGAGCTCTACAAAGCTCTAACATGTATATATGCTTATATGTGACACATATACCTTATTATATGTGTTAAGTCATTTTATATGACAATAACTTTAGTTTTGGTTAAGGATAAGTGGCCTCACTACAGTTTACCTGCAAAAACAGTTCATAGGGTAAAATGTACTGCCCACTTGACCAAGACGCTTAACTATATTTCCCATAATTCTCTGCTAGCAGAGCATTATAGAGCTGTAGTACAAAAACAGCTAAGGGATCTATGTTTTTGTTGTGTAATATTGGTGTTGTGACAGCATATCCTGTCTAATTAAAAAAAAAAAAACATGTATTGATTTTATTTCCATGCAAATCTTGAAATATATGTATTTGATTTTTATTATTATGTTTTTAAGATAAATTCATTAGACACGTAAATTACAGAGACTGTGCTTAATTTATTAGCAAACTGCATAAATGAATTTATTGGTATAGATATATCTTGCTTGAGGTTGAATTAAGTTTCCTGAAAGACTTCACAGAGATGTGCCAGTCTTATCATGGTAAAATGCCAACAAGTATTTAAAAATAAAAATACTGATATTTGCATGTTTCTTACTAAGAATCTGTGTTCAACTTTATATGTTGTATGTTACATTGATATAAAAAACAATTTTCTATTAAATTGTGATTGTCACATTTCATTGTTTTCTTTGTAACTCTTTGACATGACATATTTACTATAAATATTTATGATGCCTCTGTGATTTGGGGTGGGGTGGGAAGGTTGAAAGCTGGTTTTCTAAGGATAAAAAATGCCTAAAACAGCAATTTAAAAATATTGTAAAAATAAAATACTTAATTAGTGATGTCCCGAACGGTTCGCCGCGGACGGTGAACATATGCGGTAAACTTTGACCCTGTACCTCACAGTCAGCAGACACATTCCAGCCAATCAGTAGCAGACCCTCCCTCCCAGACCCTCCAACCTCCTGGACAGCATCCATTTTACATTCATTGTGAAGCTGCATTCTTAGTGAGCTGTCCAGGAGGTGGGAGGGTCTGGGAGGGAGGGTCTGCTGCTGATTGGCTGGAATGTGTCTGCTGACTGTGAGGTACAGGGTCAAAGTTTACCGCATATGTTCGCCGTCCGCGGCGAACCGTTCGGGACATCACTATACTTAATTTCTTAATTTAAAGGATACCCGACTGGAACACAACAGGAGGGAAGGTACCAGGTAGATTACATTTGTTTTGTCTCTTAGTGGCATTTCATGCCAGTATACAGTTTAAATGAAGAAATAAAGTTATTTTCAAATTGCCTTTTTGGGTGTTTTTTTTCTTCCTGGAAAAATCAGGCTTACAAATTAATTTTTGTTTTACTATGTTTTTAGTGGAAGAGAACTTGCCGTTGCTGCATAACATATTCATACTGCTATGTGATGCTGCTACATTGTTAAACTTAATGTCTTTTATCAATCTTGTTGTTTTGGTGCTCCTGAGATTGACTGAATTCATTTTAAATGGGACCTTACTGGTATAATTAAATAAAATTAAAAATATATATTTACACCGAAGTGTGCCAATAAAACAGCAAAATATAATCCTGTCAGGCTCCCGTGGGCGGCTGCGAGGGGAGGCTGCACTCCGCTCGCAGTACTCACCCTCCAGCCGTCCGCGGTCCCCTCCGCCTCGTGGGTACGGCGGGCGGCATCCTTCCAGCCTCGGATGCCGCCCGCCGTTCCCTCGACGTCCCCCAGCGGCAGCATGCATGACGCTGCACGCTGGGAGACCGCCCAGGTTTATACACGCCGGGGTCCCCGAATCGTGACATTACAACAGGGCCATAATGGAACCTGCTGACATACCACAGCTCCTAGTTAATCAAGAGGCTAGAATGGATGGCTTGGACCACCGTATGGATCAGTTTGCTCAAGCTTTGCAAACCATACTGGCTCGTACTGCACACTTGCAACCTGCCGTTCAGGAGGCTGCTGCTGCTGTGCCCGAACCCATTCCCACTCCAGTACCTGTTCCCGCTCATGTAGTTCACATGACGCCGCCACAGCGCTACAGTGGTGACCCAACATTGTGTCGTGGTTTCCTCAACCAAATCGACATCCATTTGGTGATGAATCCACGCTCCTATCCCACTGACAGATCTAAAATTGCCTTTTTTTAATTCTTTATTTGTAGGGTTTTCTCCTTGAAGTTAGGAGGGAGGGGAGTGGGGTACAGAAAATAAAAGGAGGGGTGGGTGGGGGTTGTTCAAGACTTAATAGTACTTGCACATTGAATGTCAGTACCAACGCAGGGTACTATTGCATTTTGAAAATAGCTTACATTCGTATCAACATGGTATTGACATTATATCTTCCTTGAACGCTTATTTAAGTTCCCTGTCGTTTCTGCGTTTTTAAGGGATGGGTTTAGTCACTCGTCGACTCTTTGTGAGTCTTGTCTCGTTATGTGCGGGTGCAGTCTTGTCCGAGTCGAGGAGTGGTTTAGGGTAAGGGTTGTGGAATGGGGCGGGGTGGACATGGGGGGGGAGGGTTCGCGGTCCGCAGGCCACCCAGCACGCGGGTCCCTCTCGGGGGTCCCAGATTGGTGTTTGGGGCTCTGTGGTTAGGTGAGGGTCGTTTTTATCGGATGGTGTGTGATATCCTCGATTGGGGGATCCCTATGCTAGGGAGGGGCGGTTAACACCCCACTGTGTTACCACGGAATGGTCGTGTCCCCTTCCAGCCATGGGTCCCATATTTTGTGGAATTTTTTGGGCGAGTCGTGAATTTGTGCTGTGAGCCTATCCATCTGCATGCCATCTATTATCTTCTTGGTAATTGTTTCTTGTGTCGGTATGCGGTTTGTTGACCATACTTCTGCTATGGCTCTACGTGTTGCTAGGGCTATGCGAGCGGCTAGCTTATTTTCAGCTCTAGTGTATTGGTCTATTGGCTTGGAGAGTAGGAGCATCCAAGGGTCTACGGGACAAGGTTTGTCTATTAGTTTGGAGATTAGGCGTGTGGTGTCTTGCCAAAGTGGTTGGAGTTTCGGGCACGTCCACCAACAGTGGAGGAACGTTCCCGTCTCTCCGCATTGTTTCCAGCAGGTGTTGGTTGGTATTTGGTGCATGATGGCCAGGCGTTGGGGGGTGAGGTACCAGCGGAATAGCATTTTGTAAGCTTGCTCCGTGTGTGTGACACATATGGAGATAGAGGCTGTTGCCTCCCAAATGTCTGACCAGTCTGTTGTTTCGTCTGGGGGCCCGAGGTCTGCCTCCCACGCCGCTATGTATGGGAGAGACAGTTGCGTGTGGTGGGTCGCCAAGGTCTAAAATTGCCTTTTTGATAAACCACTTGTCCGGGAGAGCTTTAGCATGGGCCAACCCCATTTGGGAAAATACATCTCCTATGTCCTTTGCAGATTTTCTGACAGCTTTCAGACGCACGTTTGATCAACCCGGTAGGGTTGCTTCTGCTGGCAAGGCTCTGCTTAGAGTCCAACAGGGTAACAGGTCTGTAGCAGACTACACTATCGAATTTCGTACTCTAGCAGCTGAAGTGTTTTGGAATAATGACGCCCTCGTAACAGCCTTTCAGGAGGGTCTGGCCGCTTATATACTGGATGAAATAGCATCCAGGGAATTACCTGCTCTTCTAGATGATGTTATAGACTATGTGATTCTTATAGATAACCGTATTAGAGAGAGGCGTAGCCAAAGACGGTTGGATACACGGGTGTTACCTGCTCTACCCAGTACTTCCCTGCTAGCGTTACCCGCTCCTGTGCAACCATCCCCTGAACCCATGCAGTTGGGTGCTACGGGGTTAACTGAGGCCGAAAGAGCGTACCGTAGAAGGGAGGGGTTATGCCTTTATTGTGGGAAGAGGGGGCATCACTGTAAAGCCTGCCCTAAAGTACAGGGAAACTGCAGCACCTAAGGCCTAGAGAGGGGTCGGCCTCGGGTGTTATGACTTTGTCCCCTCATAAGTCCATCTCTAGACCGTTTATTACGGTTTCTCTCTTGGTCAATAAAACCACTATAACAACCAAAGCCCTGATCGATTCGGGTGCGGCAGACAACCTTATGGATGAGACCTTTGCCAAAACCGCAGCCCTGAATTTGATCCGAAAGGAGACACCCTTGGCCGTTGAGGCCATAGATGGTAGACCACTGGAGAAACCTCTGGTGACCCATGAAACCCAGGAAATAGTTATGTCTGTGGGTGTTTTGCACAAGGAGAAGTTAACCTTCCAAATAATTGACTCCCCAACAGCCTCCATCGTTCTAGGTTTTCCCTGGTTAGTTAAACACAACCCTGTTCTTGATTGGGGTTGTTTAGACATACTCTCCTGGGGGGAATCTTGTCAGCGAGACTGTATGGCTCATGTACGTCCTGTCTGTTTACTTAACGTGCCCACGGCTAAACCACTCTCGGTTTCTGTTCCCTCTGTTTATGCAGACCTTGCCTTGGTTTTTGAAAAGAGGGAGGCAGATAAGCTACCTCCACATCGTGAGTATGATTGTGCCATAAACCTCTTACCGGGCACTATGCCTCCTAGGGGAAAGGTCTACCCTCTTTCTGAAAAAGAGAACCAGATCATGGAGGAGTACATACAGGAATCCCTAAGAAAAGGTTTTATTAGAAGGTCCTCCTCTCCTGCTGGTGCTGGTTTCTTTTTTGTGGCTAAGAAGGAGGGCGATTTGAGGCCATGTATAGACTACAGGGGTCTGAACAATATAACGGTTAAAAACGCCTACCCTATCCCCCTCATCACTGAGTTGTTTGATCGTGTTAAAGGTTCTAAATTCTTCACCAAATTAGACCTCAGGGGGGCTTATAACCTTGTCCGTATAAAGGAGAATGACGAGTGGAAGACAGCGTTCAACACACACAGTGGGCATTACGAATATCTGGTCATGCCTTTTGGATTGTGTAATGCTCCTGCCGTGTTTCAGGACCTCATAAATGATGTCCTTAGGGATCTATTGCATGTCTGTGCTGTAGTGTACCTTGACGACATACTTGTGTATTCTCCTGATTTGAAGTCACACCATAACCATGTTAGGATGGTGCTCAAAAAGCTATTACAGAACGGACTCTACTGTAAGTTAGAAAAATGTTTATTCGATCAGACCTGTGCAATTCCTAGGATATATCATTACTGAACAGGGTTTCAGTATGGATCCTGCTAAATTGGAAGCTATAATGTCCTGGCCACTTCCCCAAGGACTAAAGGCTATCCAGCGTTTTATAGGATTTGCCAACTATTATAGGAAATTTATAAAAAACTTTTCACCACTCATATCTCCCATAACGAAGTTGACAAAAAAAGGTCTACACCCTAGGGTTTGGACTCCTGAAGCCCTTAAGGCCTTCGAAACCCTCAAGAAGGCATTTGCCTCTGCTCCAGTGCTGCACCACCCTGATCCTTCTCTTCCCTTTGTTATGGAAGTAGACGCCTCGGAGTCGGGTGTGGGAGCAGTACTGTCACAGAGGTTGTCTTATGACAAACCCCTCCATCCCTGTTGTTATTTTTCTAAAAGGTTGTCTGATTCAGAGAAGAATTACGATGTTGGGAACAGGGAACTATTAGCTATTGTGTTAGCTTTCAAGGAATGGAGGTACTTATTAGAGGGTTCTAGACACAAAATTATGGTTATAACAGATCATAAGAATCTATCCTATATTGCTGATGCTAGAAGGTTATCTGCCCGGCAGGCTAGATGGTCTCTATTTCTCTCACGCTTCCAATATGTTATCACCTATAGACCTGGTTGCCGTAATGCCAAAGCTGACGCTATCTCTCGGCAGCATGAACCAGTAGAATTTGTTAACCCGACTCCTGAACCTATTGTACCTGCGTCTCGGATAATAGCTGCTACCCGTTTGGTTGTTTCTTCACCTTTCCTTAATAGTATTAAAACATACCAAACCCAGGCACCCCCTGAGACGCCGGTTGGTAAACTATACGTTGAAGCTAATGACAGAAAAAAGTTGTTAACTTTATTTCACACAGCCAAAACTGCTGGTCATCCGGGGGTTACCAAAACCTACAAGGGCCTCCTTCAACAGTTCTGGTGGCCTTCACTCAAGCGAGACGTAGTGGATTTTGTTCAGGCTTGTCAGGTCTGCACGCAATGTAAGTCCCTTAATGTGAGACCCCAGGGTTTTCTGATGCCTCTATCTATACCCAAGAAACCATGGACCCACTTATCCATGGATTTCATTGTAGACCTGCCTCTTTCTGATGGTCAGACGGTGATACTGACTGTGACGGATAGGTTCTCTAAAATGGCGCACTT